TTGGAATTTCCTCTGTCCTAGATTTCCACATTTTTCCAGTCCAATGAGTGTTCTCAGTTGTCGTTTATTTTTCTATGTTGAAATTTTTTCCACCCTTAAAATGTATCATTGGCTTTCAGTAAACGCTCGAATCGAACCACTCGTGGAATAGTATCCAAGCTTTCTGATTCTCCTTTGTTTACATTTTAGCTTGCTAAATATTCTATTGAAATTTGAATTATAAGTAAAATGTTTTTCATGGTGGTCTAGCCTCAATTGACTCATGATTTCAATCAAAAACTTAACAATCTCCACAACACCTAAACTGATAATTAACATGTGCTCACTAGTGACTAGCTTCGTGAGAAAATTCTCGGAGTTCTGGTGAGAAGCTGTGACCAGTGGAGCTAATCTGTGTCGGGTAAAATGTTTACATTCCACTCAACGAAGCCATTTATTTATCTAGAAGTTTCTTCGTTTTTCGCTAGTTGATTTCTCGCTTGACTCTTTATTTTGTATATTTCACTGATAAATACACATGATACTGACGTATAAAAATCATGATTTTATGTTATACGAGTCATATAAGTAATAACATATATGTATTCGAAGTTCTCAATGTTGCGGGGGTTACAAGCTTTTTTTACAATGGGTAATAACTTGTGAAATTAGTTTTTAGATCACATATAACTATCACTTTTTGATTGAGATAATGAATCAATTGATGTTAGACCACCGTTGGAAACCTGGAAGCACTGGACGGCCGTTTCGTCCTAGTATGAGACTCCTCAGCAGTGCGCATCCACGATCCCGCTCCCTGCGAGATTTGAACCCAAGACCTATCGGTCTCGTGCCAGGCGCTTAACCAACTAGACCACTTCCAGGTTTCCAACGGTGGTGTGACATCAATTGATTCATGATCTCAATGAAAGACTTAACAGTCTCCACAACCCCTATACTGATAACTATCATTTTATTAGAGAACAATTCATTTAAAATCATTATTCATATGCTGTTGAGATTACCATGTTGAAGATCAGAAAGATCAAATAGACAAAACATAAGTTTAGTCGATTAAGTTCACACAGTTGCACAGACATACATAAAATCTACTATAGAGACTGTAGGAATGAAACACCAATTATAGATTTTTCGATGTTGAATCAATACTTAGTTCGATTTAATTCATGATACATTTCAAACACTCAACTAGTAAGACGAGGATCAATGTGAACATGTTTGCCACACAAAACTAAATGTAACGAATGGTTTACACAAAACCATGGTTTTAGTGTGACTTCCTGCACAGTTGAAAATGTAACAAAAATATTTAACCTACCACTAGTTGTATTTACCGAGATAATCCTCGCCTATAACACATAAGAGTAGCTACATACGTGAATTAACGTTAATTTTAATTACAGTGAACAGAATAGACGTAGTCGTGTTGATAATGGGCAAGATGAATGAATATCCCATGCATTTTTAAGTATTACTTTAAAGCAGCAAGCTATAGGTAACAAAAATATCTGACACGTATGTGTTCGGAACATTCCTCATTATTCTGATGGGGAGAAATACTGCCAAATGTAATAACAGTGGGTTTAAGAATTTCCTACTACAAGTGCCTCTGTACTGTGTGATTTCCTGTATCTAAGCTGACGTTTGAATCAAAACCAACCCGTACGGGAGTTTGTTTAATTCTTTTTGTATGTTTTGATATGTCAAGAGCGTATAACTTGTGATCATTTTCACTACGTTACTTTGTTGTACCATCAGTAGGATGTTAAATATTCATGTCTCCTCTTGTTATCTTTGTCAATAGTTACAAGAAACGATTTTTAGTTCAACTTGTTTCATCATACGCTTAACGTTCAGTCTTACTTGTTATCATTGCTACAACATCATCTCGACTGTCCAGACTTTCGTTCAATTAACTTTATCTTGTTCGGTAAATATCGCTGCAAACTTTGCTAAATCACTTTCTTCCTGACACTATGACTCATTACGGCTGACTGACGCATATTCTCATATCTATATATGTATAACAATGTTCATATTTATATAAATATTTCATGTGACACTTATTTCAACATTACGGATTAAGATTTGAAATGTCATATTTTCGGATCTTGCTTTAAGCCAGATTGAGTCCTCATCATACGTTGTAGTCAGATATTTCATGAGAAGTGTAATATTGGACATAAAATCTGATAAACGTAGATTGATATTCCAATCCATTATAAATTACTGTTCAAAACAGATATTGTTCTGAAACCGGTTGGAAGGTACTGAATTTCACGTTTTACATCACAGGCTGATTTCAGTGAAACAGATCACTGAAAACCAGGAGTCAAATAACAATCAACTCTTCGGCAGCTTGCCTTGACGATTTCCAGGTTTCAATGCATTATAATTCAATAGATACTATCGTGATGCCCTTCTCATTAGTTTTTCCACCTCGAAAAACGTCTAATTAACATTTCTGTGTCATATTACATCAATATTATAGTTCTCATACTACATAGGTTTAAACAAACGTTCTATCATTTATACTGCAGCGAATGCACAATGTTTGTTCATATAAATAGGCTTTAAACTCCTAAAATACTGTACATCATTTTATATATTTTTTCAGCACCTTTTGGAGTATACAGTGAGACAGTAAGGGGTGAGTATTCTCACAACGAAGTTTCGTTCTTTAAGGTAGATGGCTTAATTATGCTATATCCAAGTCACTTATTACTTATACTTGAAGGCGGGTAATCGATGCTTATCACAAATTAGGAACACGGAATACTTGTACAAGTGCAGATTTGTCAGCCCTAAAACACAATGACGACGACCCTATTCGAAAATACACACGTATATATATTGGTTGTATACTCATTTCGTTCACTAATTTAGAAAAAGTCAATAATATGAAATAATAACAAATTCGCAAAAAGTAGTTCTTGTAAGTGTTCAACCAAACAACACAGTCTTCAGTTAAATTAATATAAAAAACGCTAGCAAAACTGTCTTCTGTCCTTGTAGTTTGGCTTGATAATCCCTTAATAAAGCGCCGCTCTAAACAGTAGTTTGAAACATCTGAATGAGAACACACTTATTCAAGCAAAGTGACTACCACCTAAAACAGCGATCCCAAATATCTTGCTTGAAAATTCCTGAATAATAAAATTAAGTGTCGTATTTGCTAGTGAAGATTGACGTAGTTAGCACGTTCTATGCGTTCCTCTTAGTGATAATTTCCGGCAGTAATCTTCATTTGGTTTGTGTGAGAGCTGTGTTACTAATCGGGTTCCCAAACCAAAGAAGGTGGTTTTCTTAAGGGGATACACCCGGAGCCCCAGACCTCAAGGTCTAATCCATAAAGCAGTGGGGCAACTTCAGAACATAAAGTCACGCGGTGACCAATGATATGTTTATACGCCTTTTATTACCTCAGGAGCCCGAAGCCCATGTGCACCACTGGTCTAGAATCAGGGTCTTACAGCCCCCTAGGTGAACCTTCGATGTTCACCAACTCGTTTGAAGCACCAGTAATTCGCTTATCGCCCCTTTGATTCCGTAACCAACACCCCTTCTGTGTAAAGGCAGTGAGTAGAACTTCCCTACCAGTGGTTATATACATGTGGCCAGATACAAACATTTCGAGAAGGTGAGCTGACTCCCCGGCCCTCGATCGTAGAGGAGCATTTGGAGGAATACTAGATATCAGTTCACAATATCTGTCGACTGTAATATGACTACTATCATTATCATTATCATTTCTCAAAGATAGCTATACATTCATTTGTTCTAGGAATTTAAAATTGAACACAATATACACTCTTCATTCTCATTTTAGGACAATCGTTTCATATTTATTTGGTGTTCAGTCTTACGAACATCATCAACTTCTTCACGTTATTTTTTTTATTGAGAAAGGATATTGTTCGAGTCATCATCAATTCACATGTTATTAATCGTGTTGTCATAACACTTAAGTTTACTTTCAATACATTTGGTAAAAGAAGAATGCACTTTGCATCCGACATCTGAAGTTAAAATCGGCGGAAATAATTAGTTTTATTCTACTTATTCATAAAGTATTGAACATTAAAAGCTTTTCAAAGTGTTCAACATAATTATAAAATAATTAATAGGTACTGCCAATAAAGAGTGTTAAACATAGTCGACTGTACTTTGCTTCATGTAAATATTATTATTCAGAAATGAGCGGGAAAATCACAAGGTTGGTATATTCACAATTTAATATTACTAAAATCGAGTCACGGTATCTGTTGTTTGTTTTGCGAGTGATCCACAATTGCACATTACTCGCCTCATTACTTGGTACTGTGTTGCACAAGAACTCAGTGACTACAGGTGGTTAAGAATTCATAGTCACATTTGATAATGTTACAATTTTCTGACATCTGACATGTGAATTCACTCTGATCAAACACTGCTTAACTAAACATGAACTATGTTTCCACTTACAAGCACTAAGAAGACACAATTTAGCATATGGTTGACTTTGTTGCAGTAATCCATACAACCTACTGAATGCTACTTTCCATACTTTGATGACTACTCAACAACTATGTCAGCATTGATTATTACATCATTTTTTCTCATAGTTATATGTACAAAACAGAAGTTAAAATTAAAACACATACATGTGCATATCAATCATAATTAGCTTTGATAAACTTCATCTCATTCACTGATGTAGTACTTTTTGCAAATAATAATGCCTTCCATGAACAATTATTATTTCCAACCAAAGATGATTGATCGTTTCCATCTATCATATTGTCCATAAACAGTCAAATAATGAAAATGAAACTTACATTTGTCCTTAGTAATGATAAACCAATCAGAAATATTCACTTAACGTGCGACATTGTGGCTAAGTTGTTGATATTTATCATTGAAAAGTCTCTAAACTAATCAATACCTCCCATATAACTCTCTACCTAATATTATACAGCTTCATATTAGCCATCCTCATAACACAGCATAAATGTGAAAGCATGCAGTTTTTGTGCAACACTACATGTTTTGATGAAAATTCGAACATACAGTCGGATCCAGCAATGATTATCGTTAAGTATGGACAGACGATATTATAATCAGTTACTATTCCCCGAGTTTCGGAATTTGCGAAACGAAGAAGTGGATATTTTGAACAAATGATAGTTTCAAACATCCCTATTGTATCTAATTCATGAATTATTCTATCTAATCAAATCCAACTTGATGATACTCTCAGTATTCTGGATATCTTGTCCACTGAAGCAAACAATCTAAAATATCAAACGGGGTTGAACAGAAATACGGCTTTTCGTCAACAGGAATTTATCCTTCTGGTTCCCCCTTGATTTCGATAAAACCCTGTGCTCTATTTTCACTCCTGCAAATAGTTTATCAGACAACACTTTAAATCATGATAGACCGCCCGTTTCGGGACCTAAAGCTATGCCATCGAACACATTCACCCAGATTTGGAAGCCTCACCCAATATTCGTTTCCCGAACCTAAATAATAGATTGATAACTCAGTAACATCTAAAGTCATGTTGGTCTGATCTTTAATATTCATTGAATTCTATTGATCAAGTTTCAACGTATCCATTAATTTAAATGACAAAGCACTGTGTGCACTATATTTGATATTGGGTGGTGGGAAGTAGACTTCAGTGAAGAGAAACTAATTTAATCCAGTCCTGAACATCAACAACAAAAAACTCCAAACGCTTGCAAATTACATCATAATCATTCAACGATTCAGGGGTTTTTGAACTAATTTGTTCATTTTCGCCTGATACGAGACTTACTGAGTTTTATGTTCTGTGTGAGCATCAATATAGAAAAACGGCACATCTAGTTATCAAGTGTAAATTAGGATGAAAAGTTCGTTTCGTATTTCTATGCTCCAAGAATGTCTTAATTTCAGTCAGTATGAAGAAATCGGATTTATTTCTTCATGAACTTGGATGACTCTACCGGTCTCCCACATTGTACAAGCATTCCATGTACCTAAATAAATGGTTGCTCTGGTTGTCAGACGGGGCATCGCCCTTAACACTTCCGAGGGAACTCGGCTTTCACCGTGAGGCGTCATAACTCTTCTAAACGAAAACCTACTGACTCCCAGGGCAGAGTTCTTTTAACGAGTTGGTTTTCTACGGGAGGGGGTCGCTAACCCTCCTCCTTTATTCGGGATTGGGACCGGCGGCAGCTCCCGGAAGGGCTCCATCGAAAAGCGCTAAAGTCTTGAAACATGTATTCGTGTGCTCAAATAATTATTGATGGCTGTCTACATATTAGAACTCCACCTCAATTACTTTACATACTAATTAAATTTTAAAACATTTATATCCAAACTTATTGATTACTAACATTTCAAAGCAACCTGGTTTAATCATAAAAAAACGGCAATATGCGTTGACCCCAAAATGTGGTTGTGCGGTTTATGCCTTCTGGCACATAGTAGTAGTAGTACATAATCTTTTAGGTTGTTAGGTAAATTTATCTCTAAAGTCACTCAAATGATGTGCAGATAGATAACGTGATCACGTGATACACAACCAGAATTACAATATTTTCATCTACTCAGTGCACAGATGCTGTAAAACTCCATAGTAAAAAAGGTATTTTAAAGGTCATAATTAAGAGTGCGTGAAATACCTAACTACGTAATTTAGCTAAAATTGTTAGTAAATTCATTATAACCTAATAATTTTCTAAATTGTGAACATACATTTATTCATTGATTAGTTTATATCAACTGCCAACTATTCTATATTTTAATGTATTCAAATATATAACTGATGACCATTCAAATTAATGATATATAAATCATTGTATTATTTGTTATAGGTAGTTGGTCAGTGAATGTTTAGATGTGAATCTACTTTTCTGAAATGAACGAAATCTCCATCTACAATCTTTTCTTCGTTCACAAAATGGTTCATAATACTCTCATTCTGTTGTAACTGGTAACAAATATTTTCGTACATATAACAGAATATTATACCAGCTTTGTAACACAATACAACAGTTATATATGATTGTACAACTGGATTAAATTTTGTACTCAATGCTTACTAACAGAACACACAGTATTGACTAAGTATTTATAAAAGAAAGTTTTAGTTATTTATTAGTTTTTCTGTTATAATTTCATTTCTGTTAGGTAGTTGGAAAAATAGACCAATAATTATCGTGTTAAGTCCAATGGTGTCCTTGGACCTTAAATGTACATTTCCCATTGGTCGACATTTATTTAACGTGTTATTTTCCTGTTGGCCAATATTGTACAATGTTATTTTCTATTTTGTGGTACGTTGTGGTCTGCTTGATTGGTATATAAACTCAGAGGCTTTGATTTGTGTTTCTTGACTCAACTGGCTGGGACATACAACGAAGCAGGGTCAATCGGGGCACTAGGTCATCCTTACATGTTTACGTGTCACTGTCCACTGTAATCGATCGATAAATAACGCTGCTTATCATAACCTGCAGTCACACCCGTTACAACAATTGGCGACGGGGTAGAGAAAATTTTGAACCCTCTAATTGGACGAGATTCAGCATAATTATTTTGACCAATCGGTATCCAGATTTGTCATCAGCGTCCTTGGGAGTCATTGGTTGTTAATCGATCACAGCATTTCTCATTACCCTACTGATTCAGAAAATGACTATCCTTCCCTATCAGTTGCAGCTACTACTAGATCGCCAGCAGCAGCGTTTCAGAGAGAGCCAGTTGAATGTTTTGGACTATTTACGCACGCGACTGCTAGATCTCCCATGTTTCGGAGATGTGAAAGAAACTGATGAACTAATTTCTCACTTACATACTGAACTCGAAAATGACTGCAGGACGTATGAAGATGAAAACAAAAGCCTCTATGAATCCATGATGACCAGTGATGTAAACGAGACAGTTATTCATGATCCGCCCAGTTGTCCAGAAATGTCAAATTCCGAAACATCCCCTGTCGTGGGTTCAAATCCCACTGTTCCTGAAACGTGTACAGACAGTGATGTACCCAGCTCACAGGAAGAAGATCTCTCATTAAATGCTCATAAATTAATTACAGTGCCCTCTCACAAAGAAACAGGAAACAAATCGTGCAGTATACTAAGTCTAGCTGCTCCAAACAGTCCTCATCAGTCAACAACAGGAGATTCTGATGAATCTTATTATCTAGATCCTCTTGTACCAGAAAATGTGTTAGATGCACCAAATGATGGTCAGAAGTTTAATACAATTTTGATAGATGTTAATTATCCCAGTGATCGACTATCCACAAATGAGATTTTCAAGGAATTCTATGGTAATGTTCCAGAAGAATCAAAGGTTGATTACCTCATATCAAGCGACGTTGGTCCACACTACTTAATCACTTTTAGTGACGTCTCTGTTCCATGTGACCATCATGTGTTAAATAAAGTCAAATTAATTTCAACTTGGGGATATGAGGACCCAACATTATTTCGTGGGGGAGGATGAACCCAGAAAATTTTAAAATCCGTATACTAACTCCGGAACTTTCAAAAAAAGGGAGGTGTTAGGTAGTCGGAAAAATAGACCAGTAATTATCATGTTAAGTCCAATGGTGTCCTTGGAACTTAAATGTACATTTCCTATTGGTCGATGTTTACTTCACTTGTTAAATATATTGTACAATGTTATTTTCTATTTTGTGGTACGTTGTGGTCTACTTGATTGGTATATAAACAAAGTATGTTTGAAATATAATGATTCATAACTCAGAGGCTGTGATTTGTGTTCTTGACTCAACTGGCTAGGACAGACAGCGAAGCAGGGCCAATCAGGGCACTAGGTCGTCCTTACGTGTTTACGTGTCCACTGTCGCCGGATCGATCGATAAATAAACGCTGCGTATCAAACCCTGCAGTCACTCACCCGTTACAACAATTGGCGACGGGGTAGAGAAAATTTTGAACACTCTAATTGGACGAGATTCAGCATAATTATTTTGACCAATCAGTATCCAGATTTGTCGGCGTGCTTGGGAATCATTGGTTGTTAATTGATTACAGTATTTCTCATTACCCTACTGATTCAGAAAATGACTATCCTTCCCTATCAGTTGCAGCTACTACTAGATCGCCAGCAGCAGCGTTTCAGAGAGAGCCAGTTGAATGTTTTGGACTATTTACGCACGCGACTGCTAGATCTCCCATGTTTCGGAGATGTGAAAGAAACTGATGAACTAATTTCTCACTTACATACTGAACTCGAAAATGACTGCAGGACGTATGAAGATGAAAACAAAAGCCTCTATGAATCCATGATGACCAGTGATGTAAACGAGACAGTTATTCATGATCCGCCCAGTTGTCCAGAAATGTCAAATTCCGAAACATCCCCTGTCGTGGGTTCAAATCCCACTGTTCCTGAAACGTGTACAGACAGTGATGTACCCAGCTCACAGGAAGAAGATCTCTTATTAAATGCTCATAAATTAATTACAGTACCCTCTCACAAGAAAACAGGAAACAAATCGTGCAGTATACTGAGTCTAGCTGCTCCAAACGGTCCTCATCAGTCAACAACAGGAGATTCTGATGAATCTTATTATCTAGATCCTCTTGTACCAGAAAATGTGTTAGATGCACCAAATGATGATCAGAAGATTAATACAATTTTGATAGATGTTAATTATCCCAGTGATCAACTATTCACAAATGAGATTTTCAAGGAATTCTATGATAATGTTCCAGAAGAATCGAACGTTGATGACCTCATATCAAGCGACGTTGGTCCACACTACTTAATCACTTTTAGTGACTTCTCTGTTCCATGTGACAATTATGTGTTAAATAAAGTCAAATTAATTTTAACTTGGGGATATGAGGACCCAACATTATTTCGTGGGGGAGGATGAACCCAGAAAATTTTAAAATCCGTATACTAACTCCGGATCTTTCAAAAAAGGGGAGGTGTTAGGTAGTCGGAAAAATAGACCAATAATTATCATGTTAAGTCCAATGGTGTCCTTGGACCTTAAATGTACATTTCCCATTGGTCGACATTTATTTAACGTGTTATTTTCCTGTTGGCCAATATTGTACA